AGTCATTGGAACCTGAGCAACTTTGAAAATTCTGCTCAAGTAAGAAATTCTGTAAATTTTACTTTATGTCAGTGAAAGAGCAGTGAAAATTCTTCTGTATTCAATTTCTGTCTTGTCAATATGAGATTCTTCTTGATTTGTATTAAGCAAAAAATTATTAGATCGTTTTCTCTGTTTTAATGACAAAGGGAAAAAAATTGTGAAATTCAAGGCATCTGAAAATCCAAAATAAATTTACATTCAGAAAAATCTATTATCTATCTGTTTCTGCCTTGTTTTCTTGAGTTTTTAGTAATTCCATAAAGTATCTAAATTGTCATTTAGTTCTTAGAAAAAATGCCTAGATACTTTCTAACCTTCAAAAATAACAGTCAGATTGGAAAACAGCACCTGACATAAAAAGCACAACTTCATATTTTTTGCTGAGTTGGGAGTTAATGAATTTGCTGTACTCTAAACAGTAGAAGTTAATTATGTGAAAGAGCCAAATTCCTGCAATGCCTGTACTGGTCTCTACTTACTTTCTTCTGTTCTTAACAAAATGGCCTCTCCCAGCCATCACATACCTGATTTTTCTCCATATCAGATTCCTTCTCTCTCAGTCTTCTCAGTATCAAGCACCCACCAGTTTGGCCTTCTTTTATATCTGTTCTCCCCCAGATATCCAGCTTTGCCATGTTTTGGACTACTCCAGTTGAGCAGCAATCCCTTGGGCTTTCCATTGTGAATCTGAGCACGGGCAAGTGCTGTGTGCCTGAGCTGAGCTTGTGCCACACTCAGCCCGTGGCAGCAGCACTGGTGTCACCTGGCATTGCTCAGCTTTATGAAGTGCACTGCAGTCCAGCACCCTCCAGCTGCTTCCCCTGGGCTGGCAGGGCCCACATGTGCACTGACAACAGCACTGTCACCAACAAGGTAACTGGAGACCATACAATCCTGTTCCAAGTCATAAATACAACACAATTCAGATCCCAAGTCAGAAATCTGGTAATTGTTATCTGTCCTACAATTTCCCTATGCTGTGAATTTTGGCACTTTTATTTGAGCCTTTCTAGTTAGGAAGCTCAAGAACCCACGGAGTAGCCCTTAGACATATTACACAGTGTAAGAACCTGTGTAGAAAAGACATTTTGTGGGGGGGGAGGTGGGGGGTGGTTATGCAGAGTAGAGGGAATTTTCTATATATTTATATAGTTTCCAAGGTGACCCTACCCATCATAGACACGACAATCATATAAAGACAAATGTATTCCAGACTGGATACAAAAACCTATACACCTCAGGCAAGATACAGCACCTTGCTATTTCTGCTTCATAGCTGCTTATTGCTCTGCCAAATCCAGATTTTAGGCTTTTGGAGAAAAAAAGTTGGAAGGGAGTGGGCATACTTAGCTTTTATTGAAAAGCATCTGTCTTGTCAAAATTTTGCTTGGTGTGTAGCTGTCTAATGATATACTTCTAAATACTCTCAGGTCCACCTATTTTTCTTGGCCATTTCTCTCCACAAAAAGTAATATCTAAAAGCATTTTTCTTAAAGAGAAATCTAATTAGTAAACCATTCTTTCTTCCTGTGGCTTAGCCTGAAGTTATCAGCCAAATAAGACTACATTGAAGAGGATGGAAGTGCTAAATACACAATTCAGTAGAAATATTTTATTCTCCTCCAGAGATTCATAATTCACATTCTTGTCTGTAGAGCGCTGGTGTCAAGTAAGATTCCTAGGGACTAATATCACAGAGTTTAGAACACTGGATTGATATTTCTTTCTTGGCTAATTTATTCTGGTTTTTTGAAATTATTTTTCTTGGATCTTTTTTTAATCAGGATTATAAGACATTAAATTGTCACTGTTCTAGAAATATGGCAGAGTAAAGTCAAACCTTATATAACATGAATGTATGACATCACTGGGTTCTTTTATTTCAGTAAGACTTAGTTTCATATTTAGAATTAAGATGCTGATTTTGGTAGCAGGTTAAAATACAGCAAATAGTGTTAGTAGGGAATGCCATATACGTTAGAAATTCAGATTTTTAGATTTCCAGAAACAACCAGAAAGGCTGTTTTAAAATTCTGATTCACTGGAAAGCTGGCATTTCAGAAATTCTTTCATCACATTCAGAAAACTGATTCTCATTCTCTGTGAAGATATCAAATGGGTTCTTTAAGAGTTGAATGCAAAGAAATCATACTCTGTGTTATATTCTCTGCTGTAGGGACCATCTGAAGAGGCAGAATATCTGCATGCAGCCATCACCTTTTTCATCCACTGTCCAGATATAAAGGGCCTCTGTGACCAGTCTTGTTCAAGTCCACTAACTGCAGGCAGCAGCCAGCCTCAGGATTCTGAGACGTGTTGTGTTTGCTACTGCACTGGGAAGCCTGGTGAGAAAGGAGAGTGATTTCCTGTGCACCTTTCTTTGAGTGGGAAAATGCTGCAGCTGATGCGTGCTGCCCACCTGGTGCGAGTTCATGTGAAGATTGTTCTCTGGAGTACATGCCACAGGAAACAGACCAGTCCATTGACTGGGTACTGCTTGGTGATGTCCCACTGCTGGGTATAGGTCTCAGGCATAACAAAGTGCAAAGGTTGCCTGTGTTTCAGTGGCCACAAGGCCAATTTCCATGACAAAGTGAATGCAGTATTTTTAAAATATAAACCAAAACTCACGGGGAAATAGCAAAAAAATTACTGCTGGTTACAAATTACAATTCACCTACTTGCAGCTGTTTAAAACGGTCAAAATGTCACCAAGAAATAAACCACTGTACTATTTTTTCAGTGAATTAAGCATTATTTAAAATAATTTCCATATTAAATCTGAATACTCTTATTTGCCATTTGGAAAGCATTAAAAAGAATTCTGTTTATTTTCTGGTACATGTTATTTCATGAGAACAACTTTTAATCTTTCCGGTGGTTATGTTCTACTATTCAGAATAGTAACACAGAATGAACTAACTAACTTTATTTCTAAGCTAAATTGAACGATTTACTGCTGTTGATCACCTCTCCCAGAGTGAAAAATAGCAGGAACAACTGTTAGTTTGGAATAAACAGATTTTGTTTCCAGCTGAAACCACACAGAGCCAGGAATCATAGGGGCAGTGCTGGCTGGGAGTGAATCAGCCCATCCATCTGAAGGCAAGCCTGCCATCTACTGAAGGCCCAACCCAACCTCTGCGATGTGCCTGGGAGAACTGAAACTAAAGTGCATATGCTGAAGGTGTGCAGGCTTCCATCGCAGCCTTTGCAAGGCAAAGAGAAAAAAAAATGAAAGAGCAAAACCCAGTTCAACTTTTCATTAAAGCCGAGTATGGAGTATGAATCTCTATGATTTTTCAGTCTTGCTTCATTGTGTGTGATATTAAACAAATTCAACAGTAAAAAGTAGACTGACTCTCTGTTTGACTGACTAATCTGATCATACATAAGGATATGCCTGGGTGAAAAGGGCCACATAAGATTATGAGATTGATGCCATCTTGAACATACTGTGAGTGAGAATTCAAGTGAAGCCCTGGAAATAGCATCATGGATATCATGGGGCATTTTACTGTTTTGACAGACATTTGATTTCTGTGAAAATTTAATTGAGCTTATAAAGCTATTTCATCCTCATTTCCCCATATGTACATGTAAAACATGACAAAATGTATTATTTGCAAGTTTTCTTTAAAAATCGTGCCCACTAGGAAGTAAAAGAAAAGAAACTGTACAATTGTTAAAGCTTTTCATGAAATATTTTAATAAGGATGTAACAGTTTCCACATTTGCAATTTTTAGACTAAAAGGAGCTGACTCACAGTCCATTGAAGTGAATTAAGACTTTTTTTCTCTCATTTTGATGGACTTTGAATCAGACAACTTTGAAATACTAAATTTATACATTCATTTAACAGTACCTAAGTTTCGGTGAAAGAAATGTACAAAGTAGCATCCTGCTTTCTGCTGCTGAGAAAATTTAAAGGGTATAATTTAACAAAAAATCTGTAGTCAATCCACCACCACAAATACTAGATGCCTTAATTGTCAACCTTACACTTTACACTGTACTTAAGCACTGCAGCTACGAGTACAATGCTATGGGTATGCTGCTACTAGAGATTTTTCCAGTCTCTTGCTTCATATTGCCAGTAGTTATAATTGATTGATACAACCACAGTATTGTGCTAGAGAAGTGATTTGTTACAGCTACTGGGAGACTTGCCACTGTGTGACACTGTTAGCATAGGTGGTAGAAAGCAAAAAACATAGCTGCTTATTTCAACACAGTCTGTACCAACACTTCTGTGTGGGATAAAAGGCAATAGGGATAGAAGGTTTCATTTAATCAGCTGTCATTTATCAAAGAAAGCTTCATCTGTCTATATGAAAGTTGTTTTGTCATAAGAGGAGAAGAGAGAAAATTCAAGAGACAATTTCTGTGCGGGAGACAATGAAAATGAAGGAGTTAGAAAAAAGACAATGTTTTTATCTGGAAAGAAGACTTCTTGAGCATCACCCATTTTAAATGCAACCTTGCAAGTAGCCACCACAGACATAAGTACACAGTATAAATTGCTTCAGAAAAACACATTCACAACACAGTGACTGGAATCAAATAAAAATCAAACAAGAAGACATCTGGCACACATTAAAAACAAGAATTCTCAGAAATGAAACATTAAGAAGCTCTGGGTCAGTATATTACATTGGCAACATATGAAACCCATTTTGTTGGGTTTTTTTAGTGCAACAGAAGAAACTGGAGCTAGGGTAATAGCTATTACTGAACAGCTACTTTTTCTGTCAAGTATTTATTTCAGAGACTGGTGGAGATTTTTAAATGACTCCCCCTTTTTCCATATAGGCTAAAGTGACTTTGCCATCATCCAGGTGATTCAAAAACTGTCTCAGCTCCCTTCATTGCTGTTTCACGGCTGATGGAGCCGGCTCAAGATAGCAGATTCACCGTCTATGCTCCCTTTAAACTTTATTATCAGCACACTTTATTGTGTGTGTGGACAGATTCAAACATTTCCCAACTCAGCAGTCCCCCCAGCTCCCATCTCAGTGAGTCCCAGCTCTCTGCTTCCTGTGTGTCATGGGACTGCTATCTCCCATCATGAGCAACCTGCTGCACAGCTCCAAAGCACAGCAATAATCAGATTTTTTCCTAAGACCTTTTCTACTCTGCTTTGGCCAAGTGGCACAGAGAGCCAAAGTCCCACTGAGTTGGAAGCTGTCTGCAAAGCAAAAAACAATCTCCGTGACTATGCTGCCTCTCTCTTGGGGACTTTTTGCTGCCTGCTTTCTATTTTATTCCAGGGGAGGGAAAGGTAGGCACAGAGAGAGGCTACTCACTCCTTCCTGGGCGAGGGCATGGTATGTGTTGGGGGGAATTTTTCCAGCATTTCTAATCTCTGAAGGGAAAGTGTGTACTGACAGATGTTGAGTGGGGTAATTTTCAGCTGGGGGGAGTCTGAGCCTGAATGCTGGGGCTTGACTGAAGCAGGCTCGACTCTTGGGGTGTTCCACCAGCCAAGGGGAAGGGCAAACTGTACAAAAGATGGAGGGAGAGAAGTCACTGCAGGACCTTTACAGCCACTTGTCATACACAGAAGAGTGGCAGAGCCAGGCCACCAGACCCTAAGCTACCAAAGCTACCAGAGCCAAAATTCCCTCAGTGGATGTCACAGCATCAGAGAATGCACTGGCTTTCAAGGGGGGGCAACCAGGGTGCAGGGGGGTAGCAAATCAAGGATGTGGAGTTTTCTTTGCTCTTTCTTGCACTAAACACTGGTGGGAGTGGGCAGGACCAAAATCCCCTCCCTCCCAGCCTCCCCATGCCACAGCCCTGGCTTCGCTCACCCTCCAGCTGGGGGGCAGTAAGGGAGCTGGGGGACAGGAATGCTTCCTCAGAGGGTGGTAATCCTGGAGGTGCAAGTGCCATTCCTGTACATGCTCCCTGACTCCAAGTTGTCTGGGGGAAAGTCCTCCACGCTGTATGCCCTGCTCTTGAGGGCAGTGGCATAGTAGTCGATGGGCTCCTCTGCAGCATTGTCCATCCAGCTGAGGCAGAGCAGCCTCTGGAAGGACCGCTTGAAATTGTCTGAGAGAAAACCATAGAGGATAGGGTTGGCACAGCTGTTGGCATAGCCCAAGATGACAGAGAGCTGGCTGATGGTGGCATCATCCTGCTCTACAAAGACATTGACCAGCTGCACAATGTAGAAGGGCATCCAGCAGATGACAAAGACCATCACCACCATCATGACCATGAGGGTGATCTTGCGCTCTGAGCGTTTGCGTTGCTGCCAGCCAGCCTTCAGGGCCACCATGCGCATCTTAGCGATGATGAGGATGTAGCAGAGGCAGATGGCCACCACAGGCAGCAAGAAGCCCATCAGAAAAGTGTAGACCACAAAGACCACCAGCCATCTCTGGGTGGGCTCTGGCATGAGCATGTTGCAAGCCACTGTTCCATCGCTGTTGGCTGCTGTGTTGGAGAAGATGATGATGGGCAGGATGATGAGGATGGAAAGCACCCAGACACCCAGGTTGACCATCTTAGCCACCGTGGGCCGGCGGTACCTGGCCGCCTTGATGGGGTGCACCACGGCGATGTAGCGGTCCACACTGAGCACCGTCAGGCAGTAGATGCTGGTGAACATGTTGATGGCATCCACGCTGAGCACCAGGCGGCAGAGCAGGGAGCCAAAGGGCCAGTGGTGCAGCAGGGTGGAGGTAACCAGAAAGGGGACGCTAAGCATCAGCAGCTCATCCGCGATGGCCAAGTTGAGGATGTAGATGTTGGTGGCAGTCTTCATCTTGGCATAACGTAGGATCACGTAGATGACCATGGAGTTCCCGCACAGCCCCACCAGGCACACCACGGAGTAGATGAATGAGATGAGGATGGCGCTGCCCTGAGACTCACTCAGGGTGCTGTTCGGAGCGCCAGAGGAATTCCTGCCGCCCGAGTCCATGCCCTCCGCCGCCGCCTCCTCCGAGGCTCCACCGGCTCCGCCGCCACCACTGTCGCTGCCGCCGCTGTCGCTGTGGCCGCTGTCGCTGCCTGCACCGCCCGGAAGCCTGGGGCAGGTGCCATTGGGGAGCATCCTCTGCCCGGACCCCCACGCCCCGGCTCAGAGCAGCAGGCGCCCGCCGCCGGCTGCGCTGGGCACCATCCCGTCAGGGATGCCGGCGCGGCGCCTGCGGGACGCGGGCATCGGGAGAGAGGCGGCTGCAACTGCTGCTCCCCGGCTGGTGAATGATTAATAGCAGCGGCGCGTCACCAGCTAAGGAAAGAAGGAGGGAAAGAAAAAAAATACAGGAGGAGACGTAAGTGGCTGTCCCTTCCCACCCCTCTCTCCCCTTGCCCGCCTCCCATCCCGCCCTCCGGCTGTTCGCAAATCCGGCAGCTCCAGGGCAGCCTGTTCCCTGTTCCCACAGCCCCACGCTACTCAGTGCCCCCCTATCCCGCACTTCTCTCCCCACCCAGTATTGTTTCCCCCACTTCCACTGATCCCTTTCCCGTCCACCGTCCTCTCCCTCCATTCTCCGCAGCTCTCCCTCCACGGCACCTCGGTCCAGACCAGGGGCACTCCTGGCAAAGGGACTACCCTTTGTCCTTTAAGAAAAAAGCCTGGGTCTTGCATGGGTGAGCAGCGTTACCTAGGCAAGCATGCCTCATGTCTACGCAGCTGCTGTAACCCTCTCCTGTCACTGCACCGTGTGCATTGCCCACCTCACAGCGCTGGCACCAGGCACGGCACCGAGCGACAAAGCACAGGACATTCAATCCTGTGCACACAGCGCGGTCCGTGCCTCCCACCGCCACGCAGCTCCACGCCCCCGACCTCGTCCTGTCCCACCACCAACAACTCCAGATATCACTCACGAGCAGCCCTGCCCCTCTCCACACACTCTGTCCCGAAAGATACCCCCCCATCATATTGTAACACCCCGGCACATGTTTTGCCTCTGTCCATCACATTCAAGGGTGAGTGAGCAATTTGCACACTGCAGCTCCACACGACTATTTACACCACTGTGGTGCCAAGACCATCTCCTGCTGTCCATGCCTCTGTCCCCACACACCTGCTTCCAATCATAGGATCATTTCAAGCTCAACCACCACATGCTGCCTCACCAGTGTTACAACCCCTTCTCTTAAAATATACTTAAAATATATAGTATATTTATATAAAATATACAAATATATACTTAATATATTCTTAAAACATATGCATGTCCCTGATAGGACTGTATCCACACCAGGGGAGGCTATAAACCCTCCTGAGCCTGTACAGTGACACAAACCATTGGTACCATCTCCATTCATATGCTGCGTATATGCACTACATATCTTCTTCCAGCTGTACCCAGCGACCACTTCTATACATTGACCTATACTCTGCTGTTTTTTACATACCCCCTGATTCTAGATGAACACACATACACCTGTAATTCCTTCCTCTTGTCATCTCTCAGCAGACACTGACACCTTAAACATGTCATCCTCACCACCAGTTCTAAACACACATGGATATCTTCAGGTAGGCCTAAAGCTGCATCTCTTCTCTGGCAAGAAAATTTTTCTTAAAAAAAAAGAGCATGACCTTCCCATACACCTCTCCTGCTGGGCAATATGTCTCTTCTCTCTACATGTTATTTTTCTGAGCGTACCATCTGTCCTTACATGCTTGTACATAAAACTAAATCCATTTTCATATACCACCATGACCATTCTCTATATACCAGCCGACCATTCTGTATTAACCAGACATGGTTACTCACTAGTTCACATAGACCCTCACACTTGCTCACTGCATCAACATTCCCTCAGCACAGGCATACCCACAAAACACTCAGTAAATGCTTATTTATTCTGTTGGCTGTAGCCCCCATCTGTATGAGTGAAGCACACCTGTATGGGTAATGACCTGTCCCTTCACATAAACTGCTGCCCAAGAGCACCACCTACTTTTGTCAAGAACAGCAGGTCCACATCACACAAATATCACCATGGTGCATATGCTGCTATATGCTCCCCACAGCACTGCTATACTCAGCATCACACATGCATCCTTGCAACCTACTCATTTTACCGTGCACACATACCCATCACCTCCTACTGTTCACACATCTTGTTATCACCGTCTGCCCACCATCACAATTATGCATATTATCACTACCCACCACTTTAATATGCAGATACGTGCAACATTACCATCAATTGATTACAACCCATCGTCAGGAATTTATTCTCTCTAGAACCATATATATCCTTACACCTCTCATCAACACCAGCATCTATTTAAACACATGCATGTAACCTCTCTGACTGAATGACTTTGCTCATATCAGTCATCACCTCCAGTCATACACACCTAGGCACTCCCATGTGATGGACATGTGCTCTTTGACACCTTGTCAAGGCTATTACATTTAGCACATGCATACTTTTGCATGACCCTTACCAAGCTGTTTCTTTTCCTTCCGTGTTTAAAGAGCAGATTGTGAATACATATAGATGTATATATACACCCCTACACATTATAAAAATAACCTTATTCAGTTTTTAGTAATTGCACACAAGTTCTATTTGGATGATACACTTTGTGACTTTTGAGGACTTTTTGTATTTATATTCTAATATAGAAATGCATTTATTGCGCAGTTTTTGCAAATGATCTTACCATTCCTATAAGTGTCCCTGTATATGAGGGTTTAGCTAGATGTTTGAGCACTTGGGGATGTCACACAAATTAAAATTCATGCTTACACTTGGGTTTTAGAGGTTTTATATTCTGATGTGTTAGCATCAGGGCTTCCAGCATATAGAGAAAAAAATTATATTTAACACCATAGAAAATCCTTTCTTGCAATGTGCTATCTGATACTGCTCAAATTTCTGCAATTACATAAATTTAGCTGAAGAATTATCTTCTTTAGAGTTTGTATACTAGAGAATATGAATCAGCCTTCAGTCACTGATATGAGAGGGAGCAGAAGTCAATAGCTGCAAAGGCATCAAGAACATCTGGTTGGTTTCAGCACTTCAGTCTCTTGGAAAACCTACAGTTCAAATACAATCCAATTTTTGTTTACATAAACATTTGTTTTGAGGGTCATTTACTTATGGAGCACAAACCAAAGGGTTTCCTTCTTTCATATTGTTATAAATTGGCATTTAGACATTCATGCTATTGCCCATTTCACATTACTTTGCCATGCTTGGATTGGTCCATGCCCTGCCCCGCAAAGGGTTGGTAGAAACTCTTCTGTTGAAGTAGATGTGAGCATGGTCTTCTTTCTTACTGCATTTATTCAAAATAAATCACTTATAAATTGTGATTCCTGCAACCGTAGTACCCCCTTTAGGCATCACACACATACCTGCTTGACTTAAGTCCCCAGGAAAAAGGAATGCCATCATAGGCACAGTTATAATAATGCACCCTGTGCTATAGCATACACTCAGAAGGTTTGATATCTCCATTCACTGAAGTTTCCTTTGGATACAGAAAATTTCACAATAAAGAATGATATCATCTTCCAAAAAGGAATTGCTTGAGTGCCTGCTTAGTCTCTTAGATCAGTTCCTCTAACAAATATTATAGGTATTAATTTACTGAGAATTTATAGCTACTGATCTTTACAAATGTTCAATGTTGCTCAAGATTTTTAACCTCACCTATTTGATAAAGTAGAAATGTTTGATCAGAAATAATGCATTTTATTATCTCAGTAATGATATACTGCCATTTTAAATACCAACACTGGCATAGTTTTAACATTCAAAGATTTCTTTAAATCAGAAATTCTGACATAAACCAATTCTAATTTGGGAACGTGCTTAGAAATTTTATTCTTTTGGAGTTCTTTCTTTTGCCTAAGGACTTTACTGTAATGAATAGACCAGAGGTCTAAACTTGTGTTTATAATCCACCTGTCACAAAGTGGGGAAGGGCAGCTTGACCTTCTCAGCACAGTCTGCGGGTTGGCCTAGGATATTCACAGAGCCTTTCCAATTGCCCATTTTTGTTGCAACGCCTGCCTCTCATGGAAGGCAGGAAAAAGGAGTTATCTCTCAAATAAACTTCTGGGCCATGCTGGGAAGTCTAGGACTAAGGCTTAGGCCATACCTGGGGTTAGAATGAGGATTGAGACAAGAAGCCCATAGCTCCAGGTGCAGTTGGGTTTCAAGGGGGAGCATCAGTGGTGGGGTAGTCTGTGCAAAGAGCTCACACCAGAACTCTTGGGAGGACATCTCAGGATACAGTTCATCCCATGCCTACGCTTATGTTGGGGTCAGGAGAGAGCCAAAGCCAAGAGCTCCAGCTGAAAGGGGTTGAAAAGGGTTTAAAACCTGAATAAGGTAGGGGAAGACTCCACAGATGCTATCCCCTTAAAATTTTCTCCTCTTTACTATAGGATGGAGACTCTGGATAGGGTAAATCTTGACTACTTGTCAAGCTCCCCCTTGGACTGGGGCTAGAAAAGAGACAAAGCCAAGAGCTCCAAGGGAGTTGAACTTGAGGAGGGACTAGTAAAGGGTGAGCAGAAGGCTGCAATTTTTCCCCCCTGTCCACATTCTCCTACAGGAAATGGCTGGGCTGTCAGGTCAAGGTCCATTCCAAGCACACTGCAGGGTTAGACCTAGGTGAAGAAAGCCCAGAGCTCCACATGATGAAGCCCTTCCCAGTGATAATCAGAGCTCAATCCCTTCAGCTCCATCTGAGCTATTTGAGGTGAGAGTGCCAGTGATAGAGTAGCTGGCAAACCTTTCTCCTGATGGCTGTGTAAGGCTGACACTGAAAATCTCCAACTCAAAAATGCCTACAAACAGCTCCCAAGGCAGATGACACCTTTTCTCTCTGTCAAGATGCATTGCACCTGTGTCACTCTGTCTTGAGTATTGTGGCAAGAAAAAGGAAACAGTCATGACACTTAAAATGAGGCCTATGGTAATTCATTAAATATTTAAACCTGAGACAGTATATGAATAGTTTTCTTCAGTAGCTTTCTTTTGAGCACAGAAGTGATATGGTAATGCATGAGACTGCTCTAATTTGACACCATGAACTCTAAGTAAATTCAAAGGAGTTTTTGTGGGCTGAGTCATATCAATGAGGTCCCACTGACTAATTCAGTAAAGTGTCTCCTATTCAAACTGTAGACACCCTGTGCACCACTCAAATCAAGTTTTTCTTAATCTTGCTGAGAAATTAATGAGTGAACACGCTTACAACCATATATTTCTACAAAATAGTAAAATATAATATAATTTGGGTAATCAATTGAATTATATCTTGCTATAGTTTTGTTAAAAAACATTCAGTACCCATTTCAATAGCATATCTTTGGAAGTCATACATTTTTCATTACCTTTTGATTAAGATGGAAAATTTTGTGCTGCTTGAACCACTCAGATGTAAATTCTGTTCTTAATTTTTGAGTGGTATCATTGGATGTGCTTTGAGTCAGCAGAGATTTTAACTTTTCATTAGAATGTCAACATATTTTTAAAAGCTCCCCTTTTAACACAGATATTTTATCTTAGATGTCATGATTCTGGTTATAATTTTACTTTTAGCAGAGTGCCAAAACTTTAGATTGAAAATGAGGTGCAAATAGACAGATGGAAGTGGTTCATTATAGTAGTATGTTAGAAAGCATTTTCTT